CCCGGGGGGTGGGGCAGTTGGAGGGAGGGTGGGGGGGGGTTTTTGGGGGGGGTCTCTTCGAGGGCCCAACAACGCTACGGTCAAGGAAGTGCTACCAGCCCACGCTGTGTGGCATCGTGGAGGCCGCCCTTTACGGCCTTGCCCTGCTGATATATGCTGACGTTGACGCTTGGTATGTATGTGTGTATGTGTTTGTGTGTGGGTGTGCGGCCGGCGTCATGTCGTGTCATCACCGCGCAGGGCAACGTTGAGGACTTGTACCGGGAGCAGCAAGAGAAGCAGCGCGCGGAGGCGGCTGCAGCGGCGGCGGCGGCGGCGGCTGGCGGCGACGGCACCGGAGGTCCTGGGCAGCAAGGGGGTGCCGGTACGGCAGGTGAGGGTGGAGGAGACACAGACGTACACACACACCGGGGTGAAGGACGGCGTGCCAGGTTACGTGGAGCGCGGCTGTGTCTGCATGTGTGTGTTTGTGTGTTTGTGCGCGTGCGGGAGGAGGTGGGAAAGCAGCTTGGCGTCCCCAGGGGTGTGTGTGGTTGAGGCTGGGGTTTTACCGCCGCCGCGTTGGACTCCGGGTTTGGAGGGAGGTCTGAGGAGCCCGATGAGGGGACATACATACATACATACATACATACATACATACATACATACATACATACATACATACATACATACATACATACATACATACATACATACACTGCGCCACACACCCGCCCACCCTGCCCCAGAGGGTCAGGAGCCGCCCACCAAGAAGGCGAAGAAGGCGGCGGAGAAGGCGGCGGCAGCTGCAGCTGCTGCAGCGGCGGCTGCTGCCAGCCGACCTGAGGCCGTGCGGGGGGAGCGAATTGAGCACCCGGTAGGTGGCGGGGCGGGAGTGAGGGGAGGGAGGCGCCTGAACTGGGTTGTGCAATCCGTGTCGGGGTTTTGGATCCCGGGGAAGGTACGGCGGGAAAACACGGCCCCAGCGAAGCCCATTGGAACCAGAGCCCGTTCGCTCGGGGGGGGGAGGGGAAGGGAACCCGTTGGGCTGCGAGCGTTACCCCCGGGTGTGGGGGGGGAGGGGGAGGGGCGAGGGGGAAGGGGGGGGGGAAGACGAACTACGAACGAGTGGGGAGGGGGGTTAGTGGGGTTGGGGATCTAAACGACCGGGAGGAGGAGGAGGAGCGGAAACCCTGTTTGTGTATTGGGGGGAAAGGCGAACCACGAGCGAGTGAAGCTGATGCCAAGGAAAGACTGATGCCCCAGAAGTAAAGAAGGCATAACTATCCAGTCGGCAGTTGTGAAGAAGAAGTCCTCATTGCGATGGTGTTAGTAGTAGCCATGTCGATAGCGGAAAACCACCTACCTAGCCTCCAAGACTATAAATGGAATGCGGAAATAGAGCAGGAGAAGCAACCGAATTGGGCGGGAAGGGGGGGGGGAGGAAATAGCTGGAGAGCGGGAGAGCGAGAGCTAGAGGGGAGCCCTGACCCCCCTCCTCCTCCTCACCCCCTCACCCCCATGTATAGCCCTATAGCCGGCCTCCTTCCTCACCGTCCCGCCTCCCCCCTTCCCCTCACCGTCCCGCCTCCCCCCTTCCCCTCACCGTCCCGCCTCCCCCCCTCCCCTCACCGTCCCGCCTCGCAGCCCTTCCTCCCCCGCCTACCCGACGACGTGGCGGCCAACTGGCTGCGGGACATCGCTAACCGCGCCGCCGTCAGCTCCGCCACGCCGCCGTCCTGCGCCTTCTGCACGTTCGTGAACGCCAAGATGACCCTCACCAGC